CTTCATAGGGACAGTCCTCAGTAATAGACTCAGTTGTCTATTCTAGTCTTTGGTCTGAAGTGTCTTTCAACCAGTATACACCCTCAAACCGCTATCAGATATAGCGGCTCAGTTTGCAACTCTAGTTCAGTGTAGAACTATAGCGTGTATAAGTCCTAGTAACAGTTAACCAGTTGAACTCCTGATTCTCAGTTGTTAGGTCCCTTAACAGCTTCTAGACTCACCCAGCTGGCACATCTTCACACAGAGATTCAATCCAGTATTCGACTAGCAGAAGAAACAGTCAAGAAACAGAATAAGGACAAGTTTGTTGAATATACACCTGGACAAAAGGTATGGCTGGAAGCAACCAACCTCAAAGGCCTCCATCCAAAAGCAAAGCTCGGACCAAAACACTATAGACCCTTCACCATCGACCAGAAGCTGCCATTGGTAGTTTATTGGCTGAAGTTACCGCCCAAATAGAAGATTCATCCAGTGTTCCATGCAGGACTACTCTACCCTTATTTGGAAACAACAATGCACAGGAAAAACTACCTTCGACCTCCACCAGAACTAATCAAGAACCAGGAGGAGTTTTAAATTGAACGTATCATTGATTTGAAGACAGTTGGCAAGTGAACACTGTACCGGGTATGGTAGAAAGGGTATCTGGCCTTGGACAACTCCTGGTTACCAAGAGCTGAACTTTCACATGCCAAAGATGCTTTGGCAGACTTCCTACAACCAAACAAGGGATGACACCTTATAAGAATGACTTTCTCCCTATCCCCTCAATGACATCCACTACACTCCTCATTGCTCTTCTCCTCACTAGCTGGCTCCTCATTGCCCTCCTCATCTTCCTTCTCGTCCTCGCCATCATCTTCCTCAAGGAGACCTACACTTTCTGACTCAACCTTAAACACACCCCCACTCCCATCACCACCCCCATTGCCAAACAAGCTCTCAACTGGGCCAATAACAGAGCACAAGTAACATCCCCAGTCCAACTAACCCTGACCCCTTTACTGACCTTCTCAGTGGTGAACCAAGTTGCCCCCCTTGCTGCCATCACCCTTGCTGTTGTTGACAAACATCTCCACCTCCTCCTCCTTGCCCTACTGGGCTTCTTCCTAACCACCCTCCTTAGCATCCTTGCCCTTGCCCTCATTGTTCCCCTCACCCTTCATCTTATCATCCAACATCTAGAACGAGAACACCAGTGGGCATTCAACATTGCTGCCACTGCCCAGCGCCCCCTCCCGCATATGACCACCACTCTCCTGGTAATCACTGCTAACCGTGACTCGAACAACCCCACACAGGTGTACTTTGAGTACATCAGGGAGTATCAAGATTAGCACTTGGGGGATATCTTTGTCTGTAGTAGTTGGCTTCTTTTGTATTCTGGGCTTCATTTTTTGAAGAAAAATCTCTTTGTGGTTTTCTCTCATGCCTGCTGAGCGCAACAACCGCATCAGAAATAACCATGCAACCTCTAATCTGGACCCGTGTTGTTGTCCTTTGGCTACTAGGCACAACAATTCTCCGACAGATAGCCCCCAAAGAGCACCAACTCCCTACCCTTCCCACCTCCAGATGCTAGAAGAGCGGTTCACAGCTGGGATAATAGAAATGCTGACTCCTATTCAGCCCATGCTGAGTTTCCCTTCCCAGCAAGAATATGATGATTATTCACTAGAATTTCTTAATGAAGGAGGCTTCCGCTGATAGGCCCGCATAGCGCATGGGCACACCTCAAGTCGAACTCAACATTCGAAGTGTTTGAAGCTTCCGCCTTCAGGGAAGCCTGCAATACCTCAACATGAAAACACCTTTGAGCAAAGCCCATTCTTTGACATCTTTGAAGCTTTGCGATCTCACTACGATCTGATCAGGATCTTTCAGTGGCAGCTTTATTCTGGGGGCTTGACTTCGAGGATGAAACCCCATCATCTGGAGATTGAGATATATGATACAGGGCCGTCGGGTAAACCTTTAGGTTGGTGTGCTCAGGTTGTGATGCCAAGACTTGCAATGGTCGGGCCTCTGAGACTAGCAGGTGTAGCGCGTGGGATGGGAGTCAAAACTGATGGAGGTGTTGGATGGGAGTAAGAGGGATATCAGGATCATTCAGCACGGTCTGTTACAGCGTGAGAGGGGGGTTTCTTTTTCTTTCCTAACTAATTTATTGTTGACCCTGTACTATACAACTGATCCCATCACTTGATATGTTTCATCTACATCAGTGCTTCATATCCATCATGTTTCACCTATATCTTGTTTCACTCACATCACATTTTATATCTATCATGTTTATCTCTCATCACTGATACAACCCAGTGAAACCTGTTTCATGTATATCACTGATCCAACTCAGTGTTTCATATTTATTAAACTCTATTTGCTTA